TCACCCATCAAAAAAAAAATAAGCCGAGTTTATTTTTGTGAAAAGTTCGTTGGGTAGAACAAATAAAAATAGAAAAGACTAAAAATAATGTATTATATTTTCCTAAAATATAAAATTCTAAAGACATTCTTTATAAAAAAAAGAAGTAACAGAAAAAATAAAAAGTTCTATTTTTAAAAATGAAACAAGAAAAAACCTCAACGCTACTTTTACTTCCATATAGAAACAAAATACATTATTGGGACCGCGGCGTAGGTAGTATTCTCCATCTACGATACATTACGTCAATCAAATATCGCTGGCGATCGGCCAACAGGCGTCTCATTTCACTTCCATGAGTGCTTGAGCTTTTATTTCATATTGGTTTTCATATAGGTTTGATATCAGATATAGACAGCATTTACCTTTTCTACGCTTTTTTTCTTTAAAAGAAATACAAATAAAAATGAATATTCTATTTTTTTCATTACTTAATTTTAATATATTTAAGACCTGGCCGCTGACTCCTGCAGCTAGATATCTTAGATAAAATAGATAGAGCATCGAGCCTCAAAAATGGGTCAACGTTTTGTCAGCTAATAGTCGAATTAGCTGACTCATTTTTTTTTAATCAATATTCTATATATTTATGCATAAAATGTATCTTGACGTATCAGTTAATAAATAAAATAAGTGTTTTCGCATTAAAAAGATGAAGAATTTATAAGACAAAATAAATATGGAAGTTATAAAGGAATCACTCGTAACTATTTATCACGCAAAATTGTATGAAACAGTTGACCCGTTTTTCTCGAAACATTTCTATGGAAACACTCTATCTATATAATCTAATAATAATAATAATAATAATATATATAAAACATTTAAGTTAAATTTGATTTAAGTGAAAGATAAGCGAAAATATAATGCACCCCAGTTGCCAGGTGCCCGGTTAACCTCAATCTGGGGTTGCTACACTAAAGTAGGCAATCATCTCATTAGCCGTAAAATAGGACATAATTTTGGTAAATTCCCCCTCATCATGGGGGAGGCCCATGTTTAGCAGTGGACAGTTACCAACTGATATGATAATGATGCTTTTTGATAAGATTTACAGCAAATAAAAATTGTGGGGAAGGGCTTATTAGTAATTTTTTTTTTATACAACTTGGAATGGCAAACAAGCTGAGGGCCCACCTGATGGAAAGTGGTAACCGTCGCCTATAGACATTAACAGTACCATGGACATAACAGAGTATACTGTTTCGCCCATGATACTCCCCATGCGTTGCCATTCCTGAGGACTCAGATGTTATTCCTCCGTACCCTGTAAATTCACGCCATATCCCACCCTTCAAACCGAAACACAGCCATGCAAACATAACTGCTTCGCGGTAGAAACACGAATGGGACAGAGGTACCCAAGCAATCGACTTTTGTACAAAGTCTCCCTCCCCCCTTAACTGCACAAAATCAATAACTTCCATATAAAAACCTCGTTTGTAGCCACCCAGCTTTGGCGGGAACGTATCTTTTTTTAATTTGGTGACTGTAGCTCAGGGACAGAGAAAAATGCCTGCCATATTGAGTTTTTTTGGGGGGAAAAAAATCGAATAAAGGACAATAGGAGGGTCGGTCTCTGTCATAATCATATTTTTCTCTTCACAAAGGAGTTCTTACGTTAATGTGACTGGGTTATAAATGAAAGTTAGGCACATATAAGCTACGCTTTTTGTTGGTTTTTTGACCGGCCGCGGCGTTGTAATCGCGCGCCATTTTCACCGTGACTCAGTATTTTGAATGTCATTCTTAAATAGGGTTGCCAACTATTTTTTTACACGAAATAAGGTGAAAATACACGAAATATATGTGAGTCTGAGAAGAATATTAAATTATATTTTAGAAAAATGAACAGTATTTTATTTATTTAATGTTTTAAACACATTTTTTTTAGATATTCTTATTACAGTTTTTACAGTTTTTTTTTAAAACTTCATATGCCTCATCACAATTATAACTTAAAATAAATGAGGAACTATTTTTTTTTTTTTATTAAATTAATCTACACTGACTTCAGACTAAATTAAAAAAAAAATGTGTTAGCGTCTAACACTTATAGTGTTAAGGATTTAGATATTGAAAACAGTATTTTGTATACTTTATTTTTGTTTAATAGTAAAAAGTACTCGTATAATGTAGTGAAAAACAGTATAATACTATTTTAACAGTATAGTTGACAACCCTAGTCTTAAGCCTTTTTAGCACGCCCGCACTAGTTTTTAATAAACAATAATGGAATGGACAATAATTAGAGAAAATGTTATTACTTAAATAAAAAATCATTATTTAAATGACTGGATGTAAATAAATATAGAAATAGAATTTGCAGGCATTCCTATAGAAATTAGTCGTTTTATCGTCGTTACTAGAGTAAATTAATTTGTAAACGGTATATGTTAAATGCATTAACAGTCTTAACTAATCCAAAATAATTAACTAGAAATTTAAATTCGTATATATTTTAAATTGTTAATTTTTTTATACAACATAGAATGGCAAACAAGCTGACGGCCCACCTGATGGAAAGTGGTAACCGTCGCCTATAGACATGAGCAGTACCATGGACATAACAGAGTATACTGTTTCGCCCATGATACCCCCATGCGTTCCTGAGGAATCAGGTGTTATTCCTCTGTACAGTTTCACTGTACAGTTCAATTACCGTTTAGATATGACCATTGTATTTATCAGAGTCTGGACTGTGGTTTAGACGGTTTGTTTGGTTTGCCATGCTTACGGCAGGCAGATGGGCAACTGCAATTAGGCTCTGGTGGTGTTTTAAGAGAGACCCTGCTGCCCATCTATCTGTTATTAAGTACACTTAGTCACCTCTTACAACACCCAGGGTAATGGAAACCAAACGGCGTATTATTTTATTATTATTATTTCAACCCTTAACTGTCCACTGCTAAACATAAATCATCCTCATAAGGGGAGTTTTGCCAATAGTTGCCACGCTTTGCAAGCGAGTTGGCAAGCGCAGTTAGGCTTTTACATATGTTTTAAAAGGGACGCTGCTGTCCATCCCTTCACCATAAGCTTAAGGCGTATTATTATTAATTAACATTCAATACTGGCATATAACTCCGAAATATAACTAGATTCATATATGTTCGTATATATACAGATAAAAAAGATATTACGCTATATACTTTTTATGTCTGAATCGCCGCTACACAGATGGCGGGCGTAAAAAATAGAAATAAAATATCATTCTATTCAAATTTGAATAGATCCCCTTCAATTTAGCTTGAACTGGCAGTGTTTCTGTATAAAATAGGAAAATCGTGAATCGATATCATGGTTTAGGATGTCGTAGCAAAAATAAACTTATTTCTATGCCAACGATGAAGGTATATATAATAGGACTTATCCATATTTCTATCTATGACTATTTTTTTTTCAAAAGCAATGTATTTCATAGATGGCGCTAGCATCTTCGTTACAGATTTAATCATTATTACAATTAATTTATTAATGTTTTTATTTTATACAACTTAGAACGGCAAACAAGCTGACGGTCCACCTGATGAAAAGTGGTAACGGTCGCTTATAGACATGAGCAGTAAGTATCATGGACATAACAGAGTATACTGTTTCGCCCATGATACCCCCTATACGTTGCCATTCCTGAGGACTCAGGTGTTATTCCTCTGTACCCTAAAAATTCACGCCATATCCCACCCTTCAAACCGAAAGACAGCCATACAAACACAACTGCTTCACGGTAGAAACACGAATGGGACAGAGGTACCCAAGCAATCGACTTTTGTACAAATTCTCCCTCTGTATAAGACCATTTTAGCTTTAATAAATAAAATGCAATGTTACTTTTTAATACTTATATTCATTTCTTAATGATGTCTGTACAATAGGATCTCGTTTATACGAACTAAATAAAACCAAGGATATCCCGTATAATCGGATAATCCGGATAATCGATTTGAAAGTAAAATCAAACAATAAATAAATTTTAATATATTTTTTTTATTATGTATAATAAATTTATTAGATTAGAGGACATGTTTATTAGAGGAAAGATAAGGTATTACGTAATATTTAATGTAATTTAATATTTTAATTGGAAATAATTAGTTCTTAATCTTTGACGTAATGAATCACATCTTTTCATTGCGGCCAAATATTTGATACGCTTCAGTTGAAACAACTGTATGGGATCCGATTCGATTTGATTTGTCCGGATAATCGATTTTTGGATAATCGAGATTTAACTGTATATATTTGTAACGAGAACTTATTTTTTTTTTAATAATTATTTATTATTATTTCTAACGTTATCTGTTAACAACTGAACGTAAGCATTAGGAGAGTTTTGCCAGAAGTTGTCACGCTTGGCAGGTGGATTATTTTATCCCAGAAGCACACACAACATTTAACAATTATAGGAATACATAGTAAGCCCATAAAATTCCTGTTACACATATAAATATATATATATATATATATATATATATATATATATATATATATATATATATATATATATATATATATATAGACGAAAGTTAATGAAACAATTGAATATGAACAATATTAAGTTTTATATCAGCCGCTGAATTCTACATATGTAGAACTTTTTAACGAAACTTGGTGTCAACGAAAGTTGGGCGAAAATATAATAAAATACACCTGGTTTGCTTGCAACTTTAATTAACCGCAATATAGGGTTGCCATAATATGAATTTTTATTGTGTATATTTCTTGTTAACTTTGACAATTCCGAACTGAACATTTATTTTTATGGTTCCTATGTATTAAGTTTTAAGATTCAAAGCAGCTGTTTCTGGATTAATTTCTAAAATTATAATCATTATTACACGAATTTTATGTATTCATTCAATTACATTTTAATTATTTTTCATTTTCTTAAAGGCATTTACCGTTCTTTACTTTTTCGTGTTTTTCGTACACTGTGATTCGTAAAAAATTAAACAACGCCATCTATTTTTTTAACGATTTATTCTAGTTTTTCTGATTCTCCTCTTTAAGCAGTTGGTATACAAACGAGAAGTCCTTCTGTCCGTAGCCTCTCGACTGCACAATGCGGTAAAGCTGCGTGGCGACCGCCCCGAGAGGAATTGGTGATCTGATACCGAGCGCCATTCCACTGGCCAGTTCCAAATCCTGAAGAAAAAAGTAGATATAAAATTAATTATATATAGCCTCAAGAATAAGCAAGCTAAAGTAGCAATGGGCTGGTCACATAGCTCAAAGAACCAACAACCGATGGAGAAGAAAGCTTCTTGAGTGGCGACCCCGTACAGGCAACTGCAGTGTAGGGCGATCCCCTCCAAGGGGAGATCATTATCATCATATCAGCCGTTAACTGACCACTTCTGAATAAAGGCATCACCCTTGAAAGGTTTTTTTTTATACAACTTAGAATGGCAAACAATCTGACGGCCCACCTGATGGAAAGTGGTAACCGTCGCCTATAGACATAAGCAGTACCATGGACATAATAGAGTATACTGTTTCGCCCATGATACCCTCCATGCGTTGCCATTCCTGAGGACTCAGATGTTATTCCTCTGTACCCTGTAAATTCACGCCATATCCCACCCTTCAAACCGAAACACAGCCATGCAAACACAACTGCTTCACGGTATAAACACGAATGGGACAGAGGTACCCAAGCAATCGACTTTTGTACAAAGTCTCCCTCTGGAGTAGTTACGCTTGGCAGGCGGATTGAGTTAGGATTTGGTGGTGTTTTAAGAAGGACGCTGCTGCTCATCCCTCGATCATTAGGTTCCCTTGGTCGCCTCTTATGACACCGACGGGAAAAGAAGGGATGGCCCATGCTATGCTGAGACCACACAACGAATCTTATATGCTCTACGAATTATGAGTATGTGGGTAGAACGTAGTCGTGAGAATATTTATTTCTTTTTTTACCATCAACCAGCATCTAAAATAACATGGACGGGATTAAAATGATATACCTTGACCATCAATTCATTCTTGAAGCCCCCGTCGTAGTTCCTGCTAGATGGCGCTGTTGGGACTAACCCAGGCACAGGACAGTAGACCTCGGTAGACCATGAGCGGGCTGAAGAGTTGTTCAGCACGTCCAAAAGTACTTGAGGATCTAAACCCATTCTGAAAAAAATTATATAATATAATTTTAAACGACATTCAAAAAGAGATTCTCTATTCATTAACATTTGTATGTGTGTGGTGTGTATATGTATGTCGCTGCATATGTTCGTGTGTGTATATATGTGTATGTGTGCTCGTTTGTACTTGTGTCTGTAGTTACTTGTGTTAGTAAAAATATCGGTAGAGAAAAGTGGCATATTTATTCCATTTATTCCTACTGGACACACAATGTTAGGTACAGGTGGAAAAAATCCACACTTATCTCCAAGGGGGAAAATTGGTATAATTTGGGGATATATATATATATATATATATATATATATATATATATATATATATATATATATATATATATATATATATATATATATATATATATATATATATGACATTAGGAAATATATATATACATATTTCCTAATGTCACAATATAAAAAACTATAAAGAACTACTTGACTCCTTATATTATAAATGTTAAGTAAGTTTATTATTTCAACGGTCCAATGAATCGTCAAGAAGTTTAATGCACACATGCCATTTGGGATGAAGAAGAAGCTAAACGTGGATAAAGACGCAGACCTAAACTAGTTTTATATTTTTACTACCTATATTTCCCAAGTGTATAACCTAAGTAGGTTAGATCCAGTTCATCAGGCTTCATATAGAATCTCTTTGAACTAAATCTATTCAACCATTTAGACGTTATTCAAAATAACATTCTGAATAAATACGGCCTATTCAAAACCAGTATTTGAATTTCGAACTAGAGTTAGACATAAATATTACAACTGATTAGCTACTCGCCCCGGTTTCATACAGGTGTATTATTTTTTCACTTTTCCGTACAATTTTTCAAACATTTTCTTTCATAAAAACCAGATTTATCAAAGGAAGACTTTGTACAAAAGTCTATTGATTTTTGCCTCTGTCCCATTAGACATTAATTGTCATGCAAACACAACTGCTTCACGTTAGTGAAGCAGTTGTGTTTGTATGGCTGTGTTTCGGTTTGAAGGGTGGGATATGGCATGAATTTACAGGGCACAGAGGAATAACACCTGAGTCCTCAGGAATGGCAACGTATAGGGGGTATCATCTTTCCATCAGTATTGCAGGCATTCATAGGCTACGGTAACCGCTTACTATCAGGTGGGTCGTAAGCTTGTTTTCCACCTCAGTGGTATAAAAAAAAGATAATAAAATATTTTTCCAAATCGGTTTAGAAATAATGGAGTTATGAGGTATAAAACATAAAAAAAAATCCAATTAAGAACCGTCTTCATTTTGAAGTCAGCTGGAAAATAATTAGCCAAAAAAAAGCAGAGATTTTAAAGTAAATCGCTTACATACATTCGGCAATTGATTTCCATTTATGTATCATTAGGTATATTTTAAAAATATAAAATTGTCATTAAGCCGCCTCGCTGCGTGACGATGTTATCAAACAAAATAAAATTTTCCATTTAAATTATATGTAAATATGATTGGAAAAATCCATTAATATACAGCGTAATAATATAAAATCTGTAAACAGAGACGAGTCTCCGTATTTTCAAAGCTTTGTCAAGTTTATTAACTCAATAACATGATTTGTTTTCCGTCGTACGACGAAATGCTAATTCGTTCCGCTGCGAAAATCAAATTTGTACACCCCGATACAAAAAAATGTTTTCGTGTACGTTGCGTCTACGTGTTATACTACATGTTATAACACTAGTTTTTACCCGCGACCTCGACCGCATAACTGGAATTTTTATTAAATGTTATGTTGATTACTGGTTTTTTTTAATGGGTGGTAATGAAATGGCAACCCCACCCGCGCTTTCGGTATACACCGGCGGGGCACCAGTGAAGGATGGTAGGTGAGGATGAAACAGGTCAGTTAGCCCGTCGTGACGAATTCAACAAGAATTGTTCACGATGGTTTCCAAAGGGGTACGAGTAGAGGTCGACCTCTGATAGGGCATATTGCTAGCATGGGCATCCCATTTAATACTTGTATACCAAATTTCAGAACAATCGATGAGCAGTTAAGGCGCCAATAGGTAACAAACACACATTTACAATATTATTAGCTGTTACCTGCGACTTTGTCCGCGTCACCGAGATATGTTAATTATTTATGTATTCATGTAAGTCCTAGCATAGAATAGGCCACCCCTTCCTTTCCCATGGATGTCGTAAGTGGAGACTAAGAGAACTTATGGTAGAAGGATGAGCAACAGCGTCCTTTTAAAACATAACCAAAAGCCAAACTGCGATTGCCATCCCGCCTGTCAAATGTAGCAATTACTGGCAATAATCCCCCCCCCCACCCTATGGGAGAAGCTATATTCAGCAGTGCACAGTTAATGGCTGATACTCACTTTATACCCATATTCATGCACTCAGCAGTAGCCATGCCAGTGATGCCCATCAACATATTGTTGGTCAACTTGGCCACCTGGCCTGAGCCAATGTCTCCGCAGTGATACTGCTTCGCCCCCATAGCCTTCAGCAAGGGAACGGACCTGTCGAAGTCTGACTTACGGCCCCCAGCCATGAATGCGAGAGTGGCGTTTTGGGCTCCCATCACACCTGAAAAAAAGGTATACAGATTTTTCTAAAAGCATTCTAAAATTATCTAGAAAGTTCTAGATTATATACATTTCACAAAATTACATCACAGAAGTAGAAGCTGTTGAGTTGTTACTATATTCAACTTTTTAGGACGTTAGTGTAATTTTTTTTTATACAACTTAGAATGGCAAACAAGCTTACGGCCCACCTGATGGAAAGTGGTAACCGTCGCCTATAGACATGAGCAGTACCATGAACATAACAGTGTATACTGTTTTGCCCATGATACCCTCATGCGTTGCCATTCCTGAGGACCCAGATGTTATTCCTCTGTACTCAAAATCTAGTTTTTTTAGTAGTTTATTTTTAAACCAATATTTTTGGTTTGCTACAATTGTAGATAGTTTTCAATAAAAAAAAAGTCATAAAAATTCATCTGAGTGCGCTCGCATTAATAGGGTTGCTAGGGTAATTTTTAATTAGCTGTTTAACCCTAAAAACTCTAAACTAATTTTTTATTTACACAAATATTTTTAAAACATATAAATTATTCTATTTATTTTTAATCCCCATTTATAGGGATGGCTTATGTTCAGCAGTGGACGGTCAATGGCCTGATATGATGATTATTCTATTTATTATATAAAACTGTAGGTTTATACTGTATCTATATTTAACATACGACAGTACAACATTTTTTTTTTGTTTAATGAATGAAACGAAATGATATACGCTGAAGGGGCACCAGTGAAGAAAGATACGTAAGAATTTTTTTTTATACCACTGAGGTGGCAAACAAGCTTACGGCCCACCTGATGGTAAGCGGTTACCGTAGCCTATGAACGACTGGAATACCAGAGGTATTACGCGCGCGTTGCCGACCCTGAAGAAACCTCTTTATCCCCCTTTTGAAGAACCCCATGCTGTAGTCTCTTGGGAAAACCTCGGCAGGGAGCTCATTCCATAACCTGAGTGTTCGTGGGAGAAAGCATCTCTGAAACCGCGTTGTACGCGACCATTTAGACTGTAAGGTATGAGGGTGAACTCCTTGTCGATGGCGAGCCGTACGATGATAGAAAGTGGCCGTAGGCATCATATTGAATAATTCCACTGAGCACAATCCGTAAGAATGAAAAGGCAGGTCAGTTAGCCCATCATGATGAATACACCTGGAAAGCATCACTATGGTTTCCAGGGGGGCCACGTGGAGGTCGACCTGGTTAAGTATATTGCTAGCAAAGGGATTCTCAGTCTCCATTACTAACAATTCCTTTCCCCCCAGCACAACATATTGTAATAAATCAGAGCTATCACCGGTCAAAATAGATACACAATTATCAACTATATCAATCTTGACAATTTACTGACCTGGGGGTAGAGATACGGTATCGAAATTACATATCTGATACCGCCCGGTTGATGGTGATAGTACATGATAAATAGAAAGTGCGTAAAGCTGTGTACACATGAGTGTAATGTAACGCGCGGTGTAATGTAGCGCAAATAATGTGAATCAACATTTACGTCCGCGTAAAGAATAAATTAGAACGAGTGAGCGAATCCCCGTTCTTCCCCTATTCTATCAAATTTTGTTTTGTGTTAACACGATAAGAGTATTTTCGAAATAATTTTTAATTTTTCGTTGCCTGACAGTGCTTGTTAGAAATTTTGTCCAATATTTTTTTAATGTAAATCTCTGGTCGATAGGTCCTACCTGAGTTTATATTTTTTTTTAGCTTTTAGCTTTTTTAAGCATTATTTAGCTCTAATTATATAATAACTCTTGTTCTGTACTCTTTATTCTTTTAGTCTAATTTGACATTTTACTAATCTGAATATAGAAGGAGAAAGGAATTATCAGCAATGAGCAAACAGGCTGCCATTGCAACATACATTAGTAAATATATGTACTTGCGTGTCTTGTGATGACACGTCAGCATTTCCATTTTTTGCGCAAACTGTACTATACTTTTATAATAATAAGAAACCTGTTATTAGCTTTAACATTTTAAATATTATTCTGTAATTATTGACTGTAACGCCGTTGATTTCTAATAAACAGATAATATTCCAAAAAGAATGTACCATCGCGAAAAAAAGAACTTTCTGTCAACAGCAAAATCGCATTTTATGCTGAAATACAATTCTAATACATTACAGGATACATTACATTGGACTTTACACACTTGTGAACCCAGCTTTAACGAGCTCATGTGGACTGTGTATATGTATTTACTATGTAACATTGATTTTAAATATTACATAACAATTTATAAGTAATTTACTACAATGATAACGAATAATTATCGTAAGTAGAAGGTTATAAGGTTATATTATAATATACAGTGATAACACAGCCGTTAACTGACCACTGCTCAAGATAGGCCAGTTTTACCAGTGATTGCCACGCTTGGCAGGCAGTTAGGTTTTGGTGATGTTTTGAGGAGACGCTGCTGCCCATCCCTCACCCTCCTTTAGTAGCCTCTTATCCATTAGAAAGGAAGGGGTGGCATAGAGGCACCAGAGGGAGACTTTGTATAAAAGTCGATTGCTTGGGAACCTCTGTCCCATTCGTGTTTCTACCGTGAAGCAGTTGTGTTTTCATGGCTGTGTTCCGGTTTGAAGGGTGGGATATTACGTGAATTTACAGGGCACAGAGGAATAACACCTGAGTCCTCAAGAATGGCAACGCATGGGGGGTATCATGGACGAAACAGTATACTCTGTTATGTCCACGGTACTGCTCATGTCTACAGGCGACGGTTACCACTCTCCATCAGGTGGGCCGTCAGCTTGTTTGCCATTCTAAGTCGTATGAAAAAAAACTATATAAATATATTTCATGTATAAAAAATCACTTGGTAACATAGAATCAGATGTTTAACCTACGGCGATGTCAGCTGACAATGTAATTGATAAATAATATTATGTCTAACATAAGTATGAACTTCACTCAAATGATAAAATATGCTGTTATCTTCACATAACAATTACATAGTATTTAATATTACATTATGTAAGAACTAATTAAAATAAACCTTACGATATGGGAATGTATATTTATTTATTTATTTATAGGATTACCAACATAAGATACAGCTAAACATTTCAATACAATACACTGGCAGATTAGATGTTACTGTTCTTACATTTATAGGCGACCACAGCGTGCCTTGTGTTTGATAGACATTAAAATATAATTAAATTATTAAATGTCATTAAATAAGTAAAAATATTAACAATATGAATAATAACATAATATAAATAATGGAAATTGTAATGTAATTATTTTAAATTATAAATAAATATATAATTGTTAGTAATGAAACGATCGCCGTATGGTCCCGGCGTAGAATAGGCCACCCCTTCCTTTCCCATGGACGCGTAAGAAGCGACAAAGGGAGGGCGAGGGATAGGCAGCAGCATCCCTCTTAAAGCATCTCTAAAAGCCTAACTGCGGTTGCCAACCCGCCTGCCAAGCGTGGCAACTACTAGCAAAACTCTTCTTTTGAGGAAGGCTTACGTTTATTATACAATGGACTAAAGTAAAAAGCTAAAATAATAATAATAAAGCGGTTACTACCCATTGCTAGCAATATACCCTGTCAGGTCGAGCTCCACGCTGATTTTGTATCCATCGTGGAACACTTCCCCTTAAATATTAGATTCTACAAGTAAGAAAAGGGGGAACAGAAAAATAAAGTTCAACGCCCCCATTGTTAGCGATATGCTCTATTAGGTCGACCTCCACGCGGTCCCCATTGGAAACCATAATGGAACATCTCACCTTAAATATAAGGTTCTATTTTAAGAGGCAAGTTAATGGGTTCTATTTTAAAAGCAAAAATTTTTTTAAACGTGCAATATGACGTCCTCACCTCCCGATACCGGTGCATCGATGAAGCCTACTCCACTCTCAATTGCCACCGGGAATATCTGCTTGGGCACGTTCGGGTCCACCGTGCTGGAGTCAATTAGGAGTGAGCCTTTGGGAGCCTAGAAAATATGCAACTTCAATTAAAACTGGCACGCTATCAAAAACTCCATCTAATTCGATTCAATGGTTTAGCTATTTGCATATATTGACTGCATACATTGGTAAATTTAGGGGATTCACTTTAAGGTTTAAGATTTTCCGCCTGTGTAAATTTTTTGGTATAACCTAATATCTATACTATAGGGGGGAAAGGGATTGTTGGCAATGGAGTATGACAGCCCCATTGCTAACAATATATCCTGTCAGGTCGACCTCCACGCGATTCCCCCTGGAAACCATCGTGAACAAATCTTGTTGAATTAGTCACGATGGGCTAACTGACCTGCTTCGTCATCACCTATCATCTTTCACTGGTGCCCCGCCGGTGTATACCGATGGCGCGGGCAGGGTTACCATTCCATTATCATCTATTAAAAAAACGCCATCTAGTAAAGTAAACAAAGTCGGTTGTTTTATAACAACTATATATCCCACGCCACACAGACCATCAGTGTATGCCGACTGAAGAACCCAGTGACCCGGAGGTAGTCGCCTCCGGAGTTGAAGCCGGGGTAGAGGGGTTTACCCCGAGGCCCCTACCTCGCCCGCCCACACAACATAGGGCGGGCAAAGAGATGTCCATGATTGATTGACAACTATATAACTTATATACATATTAAACACTTTAAATACATACCTAATTAATTATTCATAGAAAAAACCTCAAACCAATACAAAAAGATATATCAATAAATATAAATTCCGGTGGCATATTCACGAAAAATTATGTTACCTCTTTTATATACATATTTATTTTTGTTTTTTTTTTTTAATAAATTGTATTGTTTTATTTCTTTTTTTAAATATCTACCAATATGTGACGTTATTTGTGTGCTGTAAGTGATGCAAATAAATTATATATCTATCTATCTATCTATTGTACAGGAATCGAACCCGCAACTATTGAAAGATAAAACGATGAGTCAAACCACAATAGCACTACCGTCGTTAAACTTACTTAAAGATAAACTCACATGTTTAACTACGCCATCATTTCCAAGATAAACGTCTAACACCACTTTGTTGCTGGGCAATATGGAGACTACCACATCCACGCCATCTACAGCCGCCGCGATGGAGTTAGCGCCTGTGATACCATCCTTAGCTGCGGCTGCCAACGCCTCCTTCGAAGGATCATAACCTCGTACAGTGAAACCCTGGAAATGAAAATATGTATATTACATTCGAGACATAATATTATAAAAGAAAGTTCGCCGTGTGGTCCCAGAGGGAGTTTACTTGAACAAAAACATAATCTTAACACTAGATACAAATTCAAACTTATCATTTCGAAGTATCGTTCATAAAAGTTAATAGGTCTTTTATGGGAATGGACATTAAATGTTATTATAAGATACCCAAGGATATTTTGGATCTGCCTATCCACTCGCCAATGTAGAAACTTTACATTATTTTTTCTCAAATATGCTTGGAAATGTGAGCATTATTTTGACAATCTTCTTCGAGATAAATCAAAATTGCCGTACTGCCCAGATACATGCAAGCAGCGGCCGGCAAAAGTTGTATGAAAATCCATATCTGTCGTGTTTTGCGGCCAGATAAATTACTATGTAAACTCATATCTGTCCTGTAATTTAAAAATAGAATGACCTTTTCCTTCGAAACATGGCTATCAAAGAGGTAACTAATAAAAGGTTTTATTTAAATTTCGAACTGGCTTGCAAGCTGTTTATTGAAAAAAAACAAAGGAACATTATAGCGCGCGAAAAAATATTATTGTTCGTTATACGTCATTGAACTTAAAAAGTAAAATTGTGTTTTTGATTTCCGCGCATTGTTTGAGAAAAGCACTATACAAGCCACAACTATGCATTGATGGACTCACGCATTGCCTCAGTTGCTGGCCGCTGCAGTAATGTACTATTATTTACAAAATAATCAATAAAAACCTTAATAATAAAAAAACATTTTATATATAAATATTAATTTTGTTTAGTGGCCAATCACTTTAACTTTATCGTATGATTGCAGATTTAATGTTTATTCATAAAATTCTCAATAATAAAATTCATTGTGCAGATTTACTGAGTTCAATCCAATTAACGGTACCTCTAAATTATCCTCGACACCCTATAACTAGAACATTTAGCTTACCGCGCTGCAGAACAAAGCTAGGACTGCATCAACCTCTGGCCAGAATTAGTGCGTCATACAATGAAATTAATGCCAAATTACCTAAAATTGATATAGTGTACGATAATTCGAATTCCTACAGGAATAAATAGCTGAAGCACTTTGTACGACAATCTTATGAAAATTAACTCTAATTGTCATAATATATATTTTTTTAATATTTTTTTTTTATTTAATTCATTCATAATCTTATTTTCTGATATTGCTCACAACTTAGATTATATGTTTATTTTTGTTATTTACTTAAATTTCTTACACTGTATAATTATGTTAAAGTGAATGCTGTGAATACCTATAATAGGCATGTGCATTAATATTGTATTGTATTTAATGTTGTTATACCTATATGTTATAATGCAATATGCTGTTGGTGTTCCTTAAATAAATAAATAAATAAACTTTACACTACGTTTGCCAATTCTCTCTCTCCATTCTAGTACGTAACTACTCCAACAGTTAACGATTCAACGATGGCCAATTAATAATAAGTGCCACTTAATCACACCAATTGTTTGGTTCTAAACTATGATACCCTATGTTTTGAGGTACCAAACAACCCAATATAATACCTAACCCAATTTAGGAGGGGTCGGGGGAGAAGGGATTGAATCCCATTGCTAGCAATATACCCTATTAGGTTCACTTCACGCGGTTCCCCCCGGAAACAATAATGATTGATTTATTGTTGTATTCATCACGATGGGCCGACTGATCTTCTACGTCATATTGTACATATATATATATATATATATATATATATATACAATATTATATTATATTAATTATTTTTATTACCTACTTGTACAACAATTAGTCCATTACTCTGAAGTTGTCTTGAAAAACTTGTTCTCAGCAATAAGACCGCCTTACTGCAAATTTACAACTGTATCGTTACGTTTATTAATTGTCTTGCTTATTCCCTATATTATATAATGCAAATGAAGTATAGTCATTTATACATTCATCCCGGTTTTGCCAGTAGTTGCCACGCTTGGCAGGAGTATTGGCAACCGCAGTCAGGGCTTAAGAGATATTTTAAAAGGGACGCTGCTGCCCATCCCTCGCTCTCCTTTAGTCGGCTCTTACGATACCCACAGGATAGGAAGGTGTGGTCTATTCTATGCCAGAACCACACGGCCACTATTACACTGTATTCTTCTATAGCCATCCATTAAAAAAAGATTAAGAAAGCAAATTTTTCTTAACTGACCCGACCAAGAATGGAACCCGAGTCCATAAGTTTATAACAGCATAGCCCAGCTAGAGAGTAAGGAAATTGATATTTCCTATTGTAAACCATTTAATATGAAATTTAAATTGAATACAAACCCAAGTAAAAGTCAATACAACGTGTTTTCATTTCCACCCGCGACGAAATTAAAATATTTCAGAAGGAACGTTCATCTGCATAATTTACCATAATCTTTGAATGAATTGAAACGATTTTAAATTTAAATTTCTGTAAACGTTACTTTCAATGGGTCCACTCCGCAATTTTTAGCCTAAATAAATCTTTGATTTAACATTTCTTGGGAAATTACCCTGTGATCCGCTTTTAAAGGTGATTCTTCCACGTCGCCGCTTTCTTAACAAACTTAAGTAAGAATTAAAGATAGACAATGCAAATAACAAGTTTGAATTAACATATAATAAATGTATATCACTTAAATACCCAGTCGTAAAGATTCATTATAATTAGGTAGACTTAGATTACATGGGTATGATATTAACAAGACATGTGGTGCCATCTGTCTTATAAATGGATGCAACTGATATGAGGGCTGTCTATGCACTGATAATGAGCGAATAGTGATTAGTTAAACTCATGTTAAGCTGTTAAGTCGCTTAGCGGTACAAACAAACAAACGTACTCATTTTCATATTCACAATCTTAATTAGTTAGGAATTAATGATAATTATATTTATTTATTTTGATATTTGAATCAAGCGATTCGTCACTACAAATAAAAATAAAATTTGTATAAAATCTATGTAACCAATTTATAAAATTCCAAAATTTTACGTTACAAAGTAGTTAGATCTTTGAATTATCTATTTTTATGCACATAAATGGAGGCCAAGATGAATGCAGCGAAAACGTCGCGTATCTATTAATGAACTCGATCAAGGAGACCTGACGTAGGTATACAGCTACATAATATTACGGTTCGATAGGTCAATGTCGAGATAACGTGTTACCTAAATTCAATATGGCGGAGACGTTATGTAAAGTAAATGGCTGGACATTGTTTGGTAATTAACATATAACGAAATACGTGAAAAAAAGTTATTATTTAATATGTTCTACAGTAATTTACAAACAACCCTTTATTATTTACCTGGCTGTATTATAAATGTATTAACTGACTCCCTTATTCATAAAATCTAAAACCTACTACAAACCTATTTTAACTATTACAATGTTTTGTCACTTTCTTTCAAACTAAGAATTTAGTACAAAAGAAAAAAAACAGTTCAATAGCTAAAATAGGTTTATGAGACGTTTCGGAACTTTTACGAATAAGAGCGATTTTCCTAAATATAGCAACCTTTTTATTCATGTGTGTGAGATACATTAAATATATTAAAAGTAATTAAATTTAGTTATTACTGAATGGGATCAACGGGGATTTAAAATATTTATCAAAATCATAGAAAGTGGTAGAATATTTATTTTTATTACTTGCAACACTAACAATGACGTGAATTATTTTGTATTTAAAAATGTCTATGTCTTAAATTCAGTCAGCCAAAGTCTATAATCCAAACTAACTTATTTAGCTTTTGATCAAAACCTTTAGTTTTTTTTTTAAACAAGTCCAAGAAATAATTGACTGAACATAATAGCAATTCCTCTTTAAGTTATTTATATCAATAAAACATCAAATGAAGATGTATAACAATAAGAAAAAGTGTAATATGAAAAAATAAAATAATAATTTCTGATGAAATGCTTCACATAAAAGCTAATTTAATATACATATGTATATAACATCATAAACATAAAAAGATTTTTAAAATACATTATGAATCATATTACGCCGCCATAGACAATATATTGTGATTGCATGATACGCCCACTGCGAGCCAAGATACGCTATTTATAAAATGCAACTGTCATTTTGTTTTTGTATTTAAGAAAACGCAACCAGTCAAGGTCGAATCGGACACGTATGTGTATGGGGTGTAAGGGGTTATTAGTGTAGTAATTATTAGCAATATAAGCTATCGAATCGACCTCTACGTGGTTCTCCCAAGAAATCATTGTAGTTAATTCTTGTGGACATCATTACGGTGGCCTAACTGACCTGCTTTCATCCTCATCTCTTATACTTCACTGGTACCTCGCCAGCATAAATCGATACGAGTAGCGCAGGGCGGGCTACCATCTCATTTTTGTTATCCAAAAATAAAAAATAAATATTAAATGTCAATGGCCATCTATCAAAACCGTAGAAAAAGAATACAGTGCTATTATTCTTAATCTATGATTACTTAATTTATAAACTAGAATATTTTCTAATTTAAAATTAAAATACTGTTGCTGAAAGATGATTACATAGTTTTATTAAACACTAAAGAAACATTTGTATATTCCTATGAATGCAGTCCAGACAGTTCCGTTGCAGTCATGATCAATCTCAAACTGTTTCTAGTAACTATACCAAGATCGGACAGAGACAAGGCGTTATAGCATGGATACGGTCACCTATATATTTATTAGCAATTTCATATTACTTATCTATGTACATTATATTATTTATAATAAGTAATTTGATAACATTTATTTACAAATTTAAGTTGATAAGAAAATAACTTTATGTCTTAATATTTACTTGACTCTGTAATCATTATTTATGTACTGTTCACAGATAAAGACCTCCATCATTGCGTACAATTCTGAAATGATCTTTTAAATAATTATCTTATTTAATAGTATATTTGTAACTCGAAATGGCAAATAAAGTGACCACCACCTAACCATCGCCTATAGACATGAGCAGTACCATGGACATAACAGAGTATACTGTTTCGCCCATGATACCCCCCATGCGTTGCCATTCCTGAGGACTCAGGTGTTATACCTCTGTACCCTGAGGTATCTTATGAACTCGGGTTCTCTTCTTTTTTTTTTATAAAACTGAGAATGGCAAACGAGCTGACGGCCCACCTGATGGAAAGTGGTAACCGTCGCCTATAGACATGAGCAGTACCATGGACATAACAGAGTATACTGTTTCGCTCATGATACCTCCCATGCGTTGCCATTCCTGAGAACTCAGGTGTTATACCTCTGTACCCTGTAAATTCACGCCATATCCCACTCTTCAAACCGAAACACAGCCATGCAAACACAACTGCTTCCCAATTGCCATTCTTTCAAACCGGAGCCGATTCTGAAGTATTTTTTCTCAGGTTCTCTAAATTTATCTCTTAACGTAATATGTATTTTGTTTTGATAATTTCGGAAAATTATTATTTTATGAACCATCATAAATTAAAATTGTTATAATTTTGTACTAAATCTATTTAAAAAAAATTAATTCATATTTTAAATACACAAACGGAACTCAATACGATAAAAAAAAACCTTTGCAGGTAAATAGTACCTACATACCTGCTTCTTTATTGCCGACGTTTCGACGTGGATTGCACCACATTGTGGTCAAGACAGGACTCTCTCAGGGCAGGAAATTAGTTCATATCGGTATTTTTTAATAAAGATTTTGTTGTGGTATCAAATTTAAATTTAAGACATAGGTTTAGAGTAATGGTGACACAGAATCTACCCTATTTTTTCTCAAAATCATTTATTTTAGAAATATTCAATATCTATAATGAACACTCAATATAGTAATAGTTTTTTTTTTTTTTTTAGATGAAAATGGATTGGTAACCCCGCCTGCGCTAACGGGATACGCTGGCGAAGCACCAGTGAAGGGTGATAGATGAGAATGAAAACAGGCCAGTTAGCCCATCATGATGAATTCATCTGGAATTAACCATGATAGTTTCCAGGGGGAACCGCGTGGAAGTCAACCTGGTTGGGTATATTACTAGCAATGGGATTCTCAGTCTCCATTACTAACAATCCCTTTCCCTCCCAATATAGTAATAGTTAAACTTTGTACGTCGTTTAGGGAATCCTTAAAAGTGATTATTCTATGTAACCGTGTCTCTTTCGAAGAATTGAAACGGAAACCTTATTGACTTCGCTTTATTATCTGTCGGTTTGTTATCAATCAGTAGTAAAGGTTATCGATTTTTTATATTGTAATACTACGTAGGCTCGTACTCATTGGCAGATCTGTCACTAGAATCGTTCGACTCTAGTAATAATTATATTAAAATTAAAATACTAAAAATTCTCTCTTAATGCTACCATAATTTTTCCACAACTAATAATTTTAATTCTGAGTGCACTGTTTTAATAATTCTATGTTGTAAATTTTTTATTTTAATAATTTATATTTGATTTGATATTGTTGAAATTTTGTGGGCCCTGATTGCCTTTATTAAAGAATTTGTTTATTATTATTTATTATTAAATATTTTTATGTTAACACTTGTATGTTTTTTTTTATTGTTTTGGTGGTGTCAGTTCTGTTAATATGTAATCGATGAGTTAAGAAAATGTTGTGTACATCTTTAATTGGTGTAAATGCAAGATGCAAGCCCTGTATATCAATTAAAATTAATATTTGTATTTACATTGTTGATGTACCTTTTAAAAAAAAAATATATTGTTATTATATCGGCCGTTAACTGTCCACTGTTGAACATAGGCTTTTCCCATAAAGGGGAATTGTGCTGGTAGTTGCCACACTTGGCAGGCGAGTTGGCAATCGCAGTTAGGCTTACGTGATGTTTGCAAAGGGACACTACTGCCTCCTTTAGTCGCCTCTTACGACACCCACGGGAAAGGAAGATGTGATCCGTTCTAATCTGGGGCTACATGGCGAATTAATTCTATAACTGTTTGCAATTACTAAATCACCTGTCCAATTTTAAATGAAATGTTTTTACAGACATTAGTAATATATTTTAATTTATAAAAAATTGACAAATTTATTTTTTAACAATCATATAAAATTGGAGTTTTAATTAAAAGTAAATTCATATAAATTACTTTTTAAAAAATAATTAACTAGTAGTCTGAACGTTTTACTTGAAGTCCCGAGGACCTCAAACAAAATAACGGAGGTCCCGAGTTCGAATCTCGATGGAGATAATAAACGAATCTTTCAGAATATCATATATAGGTTTTCTAAATAATCCAGTATTATATATACTCCTATATCTATCCGGTTGTTTAGTTGTTCAGTATAAAATAAAAAAGAATTTTAAATATGCTTACAACTACAATACCGAATCGGGTAATAAAATAAAATAAATATTTTTATGAATAAATAAACAAATACAGTATTCAATATGTACTTTAAAAATATGTGTATATAAAAAAATAAATAAAAAAGTAAATAAAATAAAATCTTATTATTTCTTTAATATTATAAATGTGAAAGTGAGTTTGTTTGTTACTTTATAACGTCTTACCGGTTGAACCAATCACTGTGAAATTTAGTATAGGTACACGTACTACATGGGATTTTTTTTAAAGGGCGATAATTGAATGGTAACGCCAACCCGCGCTATCGGTATACACCAGCGGGGCACCAGTGAGGGATGATAGGTGAGGATGAAGCAGGTCAGTTAGCCCATCGTGACGAATTCAATAAGAATTGTTCACGATGGTTTCCAGGGGGAACCACGTGGAGGTCGACCTAATAGGGCATATTGCTAACAATGGGGCTGTCAAACTCCATTGCTAACAATCCCTTTACCCCCTAACTACATGGGATTGTGAAGAATGTAGACTACTTTTTATCCCAGTTATTAAAAGCCAATTATTCATATAAAACAAGGAATATAAAAAGAAATATTGCTAAGAATAATATACAGAAACCGGTTTAGTACCTAATCGACTTGTCTAAATGCACTTTATAGTTTCAATTAATGTATAATTTAATATGGGTTTACATTAAGCATTAATTTGTTAAGTCATTGTCATTTATTTAATAAGTCCGATAATAAATTACGAAACAGTTAATTTTCATAATAAAAATAGAAAAACATTACCGTTGTTTATGACATAGTAAGTAGTATTTCATACATTCCCATACAAATACACTTGTAAACATACATAACAAATAAGTTATTCAGTGAACAATTCAACAAGCATTCCAAACATCCGAACGTTACCTTTTTGACTAAATTCGCCGCCATATACCCTCCCATGTTTCCAAGGCCAAGGAATGCAACATTCTTGTCCCCTGTCGAGCTGTATGCACGTCTCGACAATGTGAACAAACACTGTGTGTTTAGGATAGTACGCGCCGCCATTTTGTATTTTTATTTAAAGACGTGCGGACGCGGCGCAGGCGCGACACAAACTGCTTGTTTATTATTTTTACGTATGCCAGTCTCTTTATCAATTGTTATGTTATATTAAAATGGGCATGTTGTGCCATTAATATTGACATATATTTTGAATAAGTATTGTATTGATGAGAAGGCAACATTTTAATAATAATAATAAACTCTTTATTGCGCACAATACAGATGTATACAAGAAGTATGTGCATATACAAAAAGCGGCTTTATCGCTAAAAGCAATCTTTTACGGACAACTTGCATTTTAGTCAAATATTTTACTTTTAATTCTGTATTTTTCTTATTCATTCCCTTTTTTGTTGCTTCATGCGTGCAGTGCTCGATCGATTTAGTTACTTTAAAAAACCGGGGTTACACTTGTGTGTGTTTTTCAGTAAATAAATATACATATTAATATATAGTATTTGAAGGCCCTGTTAAAATTTGGACTACATCTGTAAAATAACATTCGGTGCAGTGGATTTATTCAAACCAGTGCACTTGCACTATGGCAATAAATGCAGTGGTTCACGGCCGCCTTTTATAGCCACTCGTAGTCTACCTATGCATTATTGTAGATTAGCTTTTACCCGCAACTTCGTCCATGTAACTAAGATATTTTCATTTACTAAGATACAAATTTAAACTGAAATACAAATCCAAATCATCTTTATTCAAATATACTTGTTTACAAGCATTTTTAAACGATTTTTTTAAAATCTACTGCAGGGTTCGGAAAGTTGTTATCTGTTGAGAAGAGCCTGCAAGAAACTCAACAGTTACTCTTTTAAATCTCTATTAACATTATGTTATATATTAAATGTACTATGTCTAAAATTATATGGGCGTTAAAATGCACGGGCATGATCGACTAACACCATGCATGGGGGGAATGGGATTGTTAGTAATGAGGCCTAATAGCCCCATTGCTAGCAATATACCCTCTCATGTCGACCTCCACGCGGTTCCCCCTGGAAACCATCATGGTTAATTCATGTCGAATTCATCATGGTAGGCCAACTGACCTGCTTTCGTCGTCACCTATCATCTCACTGGTATCTTGTCAGAGTATACCGATAGTGCAGGCGGGATAACCATTCCATTATCACCCATTAAAAAAACACCATGCACGTTTGTTATCCAAGTAATCATTTAGTCTTTAGTGTGTTTGTTTGTTTTTTTTTGTGTGTGTTTTTTTTTGTCTTTTTATGTATTTTTTTTGTCTTTTGTGTGTGGCTTTGTTCAATAAGTGTTTTTAATAACAGTTTTAAATTTATTAAAAGGCAGATCCGAAATATCCTTCGGTAACTTATTTTAACATTTAATGTAGTAACAAAATAGTCTATGTCTTTCTTCATCCTATGGGATATTTTGTACTCTATAATACGTGTATACCACAAATATTGTGATTGATAAAGCCCTTGAAGCGCTAAGAAGTACAAGTAAAAAAAACACTTTCACATTTATAATATTAATAAAGATAAGCAATTGCAAATATAGAAAAGTGGGGGAAAGGGATTGTTAATAATGGAGTCTAACTGCCCCACTGCTAACAATATAACCTAACAGGTTGACCTCCACGCGGTTCCCCCTGGGAACGTGGTTATTTCTTGTTGATTCGTCACAATGGGCCAACTGATCTGCTTTCATCCTCACCTATCATTTTTCGCGGAAGCCTCGCCAGAGTATACCAATAGCGCCGACGAGGTAACGACCATTCCATAGTTACCTATCTGAAATTAAATATGGATAAGTATACCTAGTGGTAAGGATTGTTAGTGATGGGGAAATTGGTCCCCATTACAATCAATATACTCTATCAGGTCGACCTCCACGCAGTTCCCCCTGGAAACTATCATGACGAATTTGTTGTTGAATTTGCCACGATGGGTTTGCCACTGACCTGCTTTTTCATCCTCACCAATCACACCTCACTGGTGCCCCGCCAGTGTATACCAATAGCGCGAGCGGGGTTACCATTTCATCATCATCTATAAAAACAGTATGCTACTGTCTCCGTACCCTGTAATTTCTCTGCTAAATAAACAAAACAAAGCGAAACACGATTGGCACAGAGAGACCTTTAATTTAAATGACTTCAATCAATTAACCGATTGATTTGAATTGATTACTTTTTCATTTCAAAAAGGTTAATTTCAAAGTTAACGTAATCAACTGATTTATTTGAATGAATCGATTGCACAAAGACTAGTATTTTATTTATTTATTTATTTATTTATTCTTGATTGTACACAAAAAATTACAACATATAATATATATAAAATAAAGATGTACAACAGGCGAGCTTAACTCTGTAAGAGTTCTCTTCCAGCAAACCCTGAGTGGAAAGGAGCATTAATTATTAGCGGGCAGTATGCGTACAATAATAGAAGGAAACATTATAGATGTTTCTATTAAAAAATAATAAATATGTTGACATATATAAGTAACTCATACAATTAAAAACAAAATAAATACATATCTGTATACAATAATACATATACATATATACATAGACATAAAATATCTCTTTACATACAAAATACGTACATATACATACATAGACGTAATAAGTTTATGAGGACAGAAGATGCTCTTTTAATCTGCTCTTGAATATATTCAGCAATTGACTTTCACGAATATGCAGTGGAAGAGTGTTCCATAGTCTACAAAGACTAGTATAAGATATATTTTTTTTTTATAGTGAAGCATCGCTGAACATAAGCTTCCCTCTAGAGGGGTTTTGCCAGAAGTTGTCACTCTTATCAGGAGTATTGGCAACCGCAGTCAGACTTTGGTGATGTTTTAAAAGGGACGCTGCTGTCTATCCCTCGACCATTATGTTCCCTTAGTCGCTTCTTACTACATCCGCGGGAATGGAAGGGGTGGCCTATTCTATGCCGGGACCGCACGGTTTATCAATAATTATACGCTAATGTAAAATAAAGGGGGGAAAGGTTTTTTTAGCGATGTAGTTTGTCAGCCCCATTGCTAGCAATATGCCCTATTAGGTCGACCTCCACGTGGTTCCCCCTGAAAACCATCATGAACAATTCTTGTTGAATTCGTCACGATGGGCCAACTGACCTGCTTCATCCTCACCTATCATTCTTCACTGGTGCGCCGCCAGCGTATCCCAATAGCGCAGGCGGGTTACTATTCCATTATCACCCATTAAAAAAAAATGTAATATAAAAATTATATTCTAATAAAATGCGAAATGAAGGAATAATCAAAGTCTGCGATTTGACCAAGTCTATTTTACTTGTATATAACTAACTGGTAATAAACAAAGGAATTCGAAAATAAAGGACCGACAACTGCTCCGCGTGACTAACTAAAATGAAGTCCCGGACGACCCGTTGGGCCATTAACAACAAGCTCCTATTCAGCATTGTTTATAATATATTAAGATTACTTACTGACCTATTTTTAATAATAGATACCTACCAATAGAGCGACATTCCAATGGATAACTCAAACTTTAAGTACCCTTAATGCATCCACGGGAAGGGAAGGGAAGGCCCATTCTTATGCCGGTAGCACACGGTACAGATACATTACATCAATTAAAATCAATTATAATTAACTTACACAACCAGGCTTTGTTCACTTGTCGGGATAAAAAGAAGCCTATATCCTTCTACATTCCATATATATGTATGTGTATTTCTAATGTATTATTATGTATAATTATTTCAGTATGCTGCTATAATTATGTCACAATTGTTGACGATTGGCGCCTTACTGCTCGGCCCACTAAAACTGCGTAGAGATGTTGCGTCTCTGTGCATCTTCTATCGAATTTATCACGGGAAGTGCTCTGAGGAATTGTTCGGATTGATACCTGCTGCTGGGTTGTGATTTTCACCATCGTACAACCCGCCATAAACTAAAATTTCATCCCAACCATCTGGACGAGTGGCGGTCCTCCACCGTGCGTTTTCAAGGCACTTTCTTCCACGTACAACCATTCTTTGGAATCAACTTCCAGCAGTAGTATTTCCGAACCGATACGACAACATAACCTTCAAGGAAAGAGGCCGGCAGCACACCTGCAATGCCTTTAGTGTTGTGGGTGATCATGGGCGGCGGTAGTCACCTACCACCAGGTGAGCCGCATGCTCGTTTGCCTCCTGTTTTGTAAAAAAAAAAATATATTTACCACCACATCTGCCCTTCATACGCTTTCTATTTTTACCCTAATGGTTAGCTGGTAGAGAATGCCATATGGCATTAAGCTCGACACTTGTACAAAATTCTATTGTGTAATAAAGAATAAATAAATAAATATATATTACATGTATAGCAAATTTCAGTTATCGATTGAGCCGTTTAGGCGCTATATGATAAACCAAGTCACTTTTACATTTATATTATAAGTAAGGATTACATACATTATATATAAGGATTACATAAATTTTGTGTACATATCGGGTAGGTCTGAGAATCGGCCAACATCTATTTTTCATACCCCTCAATGATAAGGGTGACCCACCCCTAAATTTTTTTTTTTATTTTTTAACAATTTTTTTATTTTTATTTTATTATTATTTAGCATTGAAAAATACATAAAACTTCAAATTTTCACTGTTTTACGATCAACCCCTATTTTTTAATCGCGATTTTTATATTCCGCAAGAAAGTTGCAAGATGGCAATCGAATATAATAATTGTAGTACGATAAATTTTCATGTATAGTTCTAGAAATAATGAAATAATGTATATAAAAATAATGAATGAAAACTCTTTATTGTTCCCTTCAAAGAATGATATAAATTATAAATAATAACAATGAACAGTCTTATTTTTTAATATAATTTAATTTATTCTTTTGCACACATATATATATATATATATATATATATATATATATATATATATATATATATATATATATATATATATATATATATATATATATATATATATATATATGTGTGTGTGTGTGTGTGTGTGTGTGAATATATATATAGGGCGGAGTTAATAATGGAATTCTCTACCGTTTAGGATTTTCATTATCCCAGCATATCATTATTGA